ACCAGGGGCTGTGTGTCTGCATTCAACACCCCACAGCGGGCAAGGGAAGAGCAGGGATGGAGAAGAGCCTGGGCTGGCCTGCCAGAGGAACTGTATTAAAGGGTTGCAGCATTAGGAAGGTTGAGAACCACTGCTCTAGACAGAATGAACCAGTCCAACCCTCAAACAGCAAACTGCTTCCCACTCCGCTATTGATTGCTCCAGGTTTGACTGTACCAGGGGCTGTGTGTCTGCATTCAACATCCCACAGCAGGCAGGGGAAGAGCAGGGATGGAGAAGAGCCTGGGCTGGCGGGCAGTTTGCCATTCACCTCTGGGCCAGGGCTCCTTGGCCTGCGAACACTAGCTGGAAGTGACTTCAGCACTAGGCCTGGGGGTCTGCCTGAGCTCCAGGGAGCCCACAGCGGGAGGAAGAGGGAATGGGCAAGCCCTCTCTTCTGCATGAGCCAACGGGGGTGGGAGGGGACAGCTCTCAACCAGAGCTCTGGGTGCTGACAATTACGATGCCCCTTGTATACATAGTCATGCGCTGTATAGCGTTCCAGTCAGCAGTGGAGTGCATATATGACAGTGACCCCATAAGATTAACGGAGCTGGAAATTCCTATCACCTGGTGACATTCATAGCACAACAAATTACGTGTTTGTGGTGATATGGGTGTAAACAAACAACAGAGCTGCCAGTCATAGAAAAGTATAGCACATAGAAGTACAGTAGTATATCATACTATTTAGGTTTTGTAAGTACACTCTGTGATGTTTGCACAACGACGAAATCACCTAAGGATGCATGTCTCAGAAGGCATCCCTTTAAGGGCCACAAGACCATAATCCAAAATAACAGTAAGCCATAGAAGAGGAAGGAAATGCACAAAGGTCTGTAGGCCCCAGTCCTGAGAGAGGAAGCCAGAGTGTGTGCCGCCTGGTGGTCTACCCTGGTACTGCAATGCCTGGAACAGCCTCCAGGTGGAGCTGAGAGGGCAGTGGGCAGGGGCTATGGTCAGGACTGGGCTGCAGCCAGCAGGGAACGGAGCAGCAGGACTGGGAGGTGAAGGTGACATTTGTGCACATGTCTTATTTAGTCCCCACACTAGAATTATCCCCATTTTACAGATGAGCTAGAACAGGCTCAGGACACACCAGCTACCCAGCCCAGTAAGGGACAGAGCTGGGATCGAAACCCAGGTCTCTATTACCCCAGGGAGCCCAGCCTCTTTACCCTATTGCCTTGGGGCCCCTGTAGGAGGGCCTTAGGTCCTACAGGGTAATGGCCATGGGGAATGTGGAGGGAGCTCAGATCCTGTGTAGGTCCATCAGGCAAGTCGCCGGTGGTCCCCAGAGCCTACAGGCCCTCGCAGAGAAGTGGTGGACAAGGGCACCTGAACCATGGGCACAGGCCCCGGCCTGCGTGGAGGTGAGGGTGGGCCTGCTGGGCCTATGTACCCTGGGCAGCCATGGTCCCCAGGACCTGGGCAGGAGGGGAAGCTGCCCTCACGCCAGCCTGCCCGCCTCATAGGCCCACACAGCTGGTGAAGGAGAAGATAAGGCCTGGGAGCGCAGGCCAGGGGGGAGTGGTAATACTCCTAAGGCCCATACGCAGTCACCCGCAGTCCTGGGACAGCAAGCACACAGGAAGCTGGGACGTTTAGGGATCCAGGGGCTATGATGAGCCCCTGAAACTATCTCCTTTTTTTTTTTTTTTTTTTTGCTGAGAAGACTTAGTGCAGAGTACACCTGGTGCAGAATGTGCTAGAAGACAGTCAGCTGGACCCTCATGGGAGTTGGAGGAACCTGTCATCTCTCCCTCAGCAGGGAAGCCAGGACAGAGTGCCCGAGGCTCTGCATGGCCTGATGCTCAGCCAGGCCTCATGGCTGAAGCAGCTGAGTGGGAGGTCAGCATGGCCCGGCAGCAGCCTCAGGACAAACTTTCCTGGACCCAAAGAAAGGCCCTCCCCGCTCAGCTGGAAGAGAGGAGAGGCCAGAGACCACCTTTTCTCACACCACCACACAGCCGTGCATGTGACGTGGCAATGGAGGTGTGGGTGTGGGTACCCTGGTCATTTCTCACAGTCCCAAGCCACTCAAGGGAGGCTGAGCCTGGCAGGGAGCAGGAAGGGAGACGGGCAGGGCTGGAGGCACCTCACAGAGCTCCACAGACCAAAGCTCTATGGAGTAACCGAGTTCTGATCCCACCGTCACTGTTCCACTCGGTGCCATTGGGGGAGTCATGTCCCCAAGCCTCAGTTTCCTCATCTGTTAAATGGGAATAATGGCCTCTCATAAAGCTGCTGTGAGAATGAAATAAGGGATGTAGGAATGTTAGCACAATGGTAGGGAGATGAGGGCTGGGAAGACAGTTGCAATGCCTAACAAGTCATAGGCAAGGGCACCTGGCAGGGCTGGTGGCGTTCAGCACGAGGCTCCGAGTGACAACAATCAATACCCAGGAAGCATGGGACTCGACTACAGCAGCTCAGAATGCTGCTAACAACTGTGGGTTTTTTTGTTGTTGTTGTCAATCCTCACCCATGGAAGATTGGGAAGGATGCAGGGTGGGAGGGAGAGAAGAGGAGAGAGAGAGAGAGAGAGAGAGAGAGAGAGAGAGATTGATTGCCTCCTGCATGGGCCCCGACCAGGGCCGGGGATCAAACCTACAACCCAGGTACGTGCCCTTGACCAGGAATCAAACCCGTGGCTCTCCTGTGCATGGGCCCACGTTCTAACCACTGATCTACACCGGCCAGGGCAACAGCTGTTGTTGTTTAACAGCTTTGTTGAGATAGAATTCACTTATAAGTGCACAATCTAAGTTTAAACCCCACCAAAAATTTCATTTCAGCTGGTCTCAGGGACACAGGCCTCAACAATTAACTGGTCTCTTCAGCATCCTCAGGGGCCCAAGTTGCAGTGGGCAGTGGCCCATGTGGAGGAGAAACCTAACCCTACCTGTAGGGCTAGGGACGGGTGGACTCATGGACCAGAGACCCTGGCTGCGGTCACACAGCAGGGACATTGCAAGATGCAGTTACCCATGAGCTACCGGACCGGGCTCTCTCCCAATAACTCCAGGTCCTGTAGATTTTACTTCCTAAACCAGTGGTTCTCAACCTTGGCTGCACATTAGAATCACCTGGGAATCTTTTTAAAATCCTGATTTCTGGGCCTCATCCTCCGGAAATGCTGTTTCTTTGTTATGGGGTGGGGCCACAACATTAGTAACAAAGAAACAGAATTTCCGGAGGATGAGGCCCAGAAATCAGGATTTTAAAAAGATTCCCAGGTGATTCTAATGTGCAGCCAAGGTTGAGAACCACTGTCCTAAACCACCCCAAATGTGCCCCCTTCTGCCCTCCTCTCTGTCCATACCCCCATCACCTGCCCCGCCTGGAGCAGCAGTTAACGGCCTCCAGCTGCCTCTTGGCCTCACCCATTCTCTCCGCAGCAGCCCCAGGGAACCCTCGAGAACCTGATACATGCTCTCTCCTGTTCAAACACATTCCCTCCCCCTGACTCACTGGATTAAGCCCAATCTCTGCTGAGGCCCTGAATGGCCTCCTGTCCCCTCCAGTCTCTGCTTGCCAAAAAGGCCCCAGGTCAGCTTCTCTCAGTTCCTCCTCGACTCTCCTACTTCCTCTTCCGCCTCCTATCCCTCCCAGTCTGGGCTGGTGGTTGAGCCCTTGAGGCAGAAGAAAACACAAGTCAGTTTGGCAATAGGAAGAACATGGGGACCAAGGGGGATAGCTTGATGGTGGCGGCAGGGGATCAGAAGAGACTGGGAGAAGAGGGCCTCTAGGCCAAGCCTTTGGGTGTAGACTGGGTTTTAATATGTTGTTGTTTTTAAATTGATTTGATAGGGAGGAGGGGAGTGGGAGAGAGAGAAACATCAATGAGAGAGAATCATTGATCAGCTGCCTCCTGCAAGGCCCCCCACTGGGGATCGAGCCCGCAACCTGGGCATGTGCTCTGACCTGGAATCAAACTGAGACCTCCTAGTTCATGAGATGACACTCAACCACTGAGCCACACCATCTGGGCTAGACTGGGTTTTGACGGAGGGTAAGCTGCATGTGCGTGGGCAGCGGGCCAGGGCCTCCAGGAGGAGGGCACAGCTACCTGGGCGGGAGTGCACCTCTAATTGGACTGGAGAGCACCTGGGGGGGCTGGGGTGATGCTTCCTTCATCATTTAGGCCCCAACTACGCCTGGAAAGACTTTCATTTTCACTTTTGCAGGAGCTTCTCTTTTTCCTTCTCCGACCAATGTTTTATTGAACGCTTTCCACTGCCCAGGCTGTGGCCCAGAGGAATCCAAAGACAAACCAGCCCTAATTCGTGTCCTCCAGGCCCAGGGTTTCCCAGACCGGGCTGAGGACCAGAGTGGGAGATCACCACGGGTCCCAAACCCCACCTTTCTGTGGCTTTTCTTAGCCAGGACAAGACGGGCTAAAATTCTCCAAGAAGGGTCTACTAAACCAAGAGCAAACAAAAGAAACCAGCTCCAGAGGACTTGAACTAGAAAGGCAGTCAGACTTTCTGCAGGTTCCCAGGCCCCGCTCTCAAACCAAAAACATCGCCTTTCTGTCCTCCCCAGAGAAATCTGCCTGCAAACCCACCCCCCCCCCCCCCCCTGCTCCCCAGCCACTCCCGGAGATTGTTCATCTGGATTCCAATCTAGACCAAGCATGTCAAACTCGCGGCCCGCCTCCTTTATTGATCCAGACATTTTACAGCGCAAGGGCTCTTCCTTGGCTCTGCCCTTCGCATCCTAGGATCTGAGCGCTGTCTTCCCTCTCCCTCTCTCCAGTTTCAAACACAGCAGAGTAACAGAAAGGGGGGAGGAAGCAGAACTTTTAGTATTATAACCAGAAATTGAATATATTTTTATTGATTTCAGAGAGGAAGGAAGAGAGAGATAGAAACATCAATAATGAGAGAGAATCATTGATGGGCTGCCTCCTACATGCCCCCTGACAGGGAATCGAACCAGGGACCTGGGCATGGGCTCTGACCTGGTTCATAGATCGATGCTCAACCACTGCGCCTTGCCAGCGGGGCCAGAAATGCAACATTTTAATTAGAAGTTGCCAACAAGTGACAAATAAGATGCAGCCTTTCTTCCCTACATACTAGTATTTCTAAATTCTCCGCATTATTAACTGGTACACCTAGTATTTCTAAACTTAGTATTTCTAAATTCTCATGCTTCTCGGAGGGTTACGGAGAAAAGGCCCTCCTTCCATCTGGTTGAGAGAAGTGTGTGTGTATCTTTCTTTCCTAAGGCAATTGTATCCATCACCTTCTGTCATGGCAGTTCACTGTAGATTGTGAAATCCTTAAAACTTCAGGGGTTTTCTGGCTCGTTGGCTCATCTTGATTTCTCCACACAGCCAGCTGAAGATTTCCTGCATTTCGTTATCGCCACAGAAACATTTTCCTGCCTGTGGCCACCCCTACGGCAGTCATGACATTTACTTTGACAAAGGAATGTCCCATCATGTGACCTCCAGAGGTGGTCTGCCGGCCCCTGCAATTCCAGATAGGAGTTCACCCACATAGTGACTGCTTCTGGTGCTTTTCGCTCCTTGGGGCACATCTGCATTTACATCTGGAATAATGTTCCTTCTGCCTGAAGGACTTCCTTCAACATTTTCTGTAGATGCTGGAAATGAGTTATCTCGGGTTAGATGTCTGGAAAACTGACACCCCTGTTGGCCACCTCATGAATCAGGGCCAACTTGCAGAGTACCCAACGGGTGCTGCATCCAAGAACAAAGCCCAAGAGCATTTATGGGGATACAAAAAATATCGGGTAAAATTCACAATGTCTGGTGTCCAATCAAAAATTACCGGGCATAAAGAGAAACTGGAGAAATGCCAACCCATTAAAACTGACCCAGAGCCAACACAAACATTAACATTAGCAGACAAGGACATCAGAACAGTGATTAGAACTGTATTCCATATGCTCAAAAAGCTAGTAGAGAGTGACGAAGGGGAGCTGCAGAATTCTGGATTGGCTCTGTGTGTTTTCTTTCAGTATTTTAAAGATTTGCCCCCACTGTGTCAATCGTATTGTTTCAAAAGAAAAATCTGTTGTCATTCTTATTTTTGCTCCTCTCTGTAACATGTTTTCCTTTGGTTCTTCTAAGATTTTCTCTTTATCACCATTTTTTTTTTTGGCAATTTAATTATGATGTGCTTTGGTGTAGTTTTCCTTGTAAGTCCATTATGTTTACAATTCATTGAGCTTCTTCGATCTATACTACAGATTTTATAGTTTTCATCAAATCTAGAAATTTGTCTTCCATGATTTCTTCCAGTATTTTTTGTGTACCATCATCTTTTCTGCCTACAATTTTTTACATCTGTATTAGAATGCTAAAAATTGTACTACGACTCACGGGTGCTCTGTTCATTTTTTTTTTTAATTATTTTTTCCCTCTGATTTCCATTTTAGATACTGTGTATTGCTATCTTTGAGCTGACTAATCTTTTTATTTGCAATATCTAATCTGCTGTTAACCCCATCTAACATATTTTTCATCTCAGACATAGTTTTCATCTCTAGAAATGTGATTGGGATTTTTATATCTCCATATCATTGCTTAACTTAAAAAAAAAAAAAAAGGCTCTAGCCCTGGCTGGTGTGGCTCAGATGGTTGAGCATCGTCCCACGTACTGAAAGGTTGCTAGTTCAATACCCCAATCAGGGCACATGCCCAAGTTTCCAGCTCGATCCCCAGGAGGGGGTGTGCAGTAGGCAGCCAATTGATTTATCTCTCTCATTAATGTTTCTCTCTCTCCCTCTCCCTTCCTCGCTCTAAAAAAAGAAAAAAATCAATAAAAATATAGGCTCTATTTTTTAGAGCAGTTTTAGGTTCACGGCAAATTGAGTGGAAGGTAGAGTTCCTATATCCCTCCTGTCCCCACACATGCATAATGTCCCCCGTTATTAACATTCCTCACCAGAGCGGTACATTTGTTACAACTGAGGAACCTACACTGACCCGTCATCATCACCCAAAGCCCATAGTTTACATGAGGGTTGATGCTTAGTGTTGTACATTCTCTGGGTTTGGACACATGTATAATGACATTTATCCATCATTGTATACCCACCGCATGATACAGCATAGTTTCACTGCCCTAAAAACCCCGTGTTCCCCTTCGTCACTCTCTACTAGCTTTTTGAGCATATGGAATACAGTTATAATCTGTATTCCTTGTCTGCTGTCCTTGTCTGTTCTGATGTCCTTGTCTGCTAATGTTAATGTTTGTGTCAGCTCTGGGTCAGTTTTAATGGGTTGGCATTTCTCCAGTTTCTCTTTATGCCTCGTAATTTTTGATTGGACACCAGGCATTGTGAATTTTGCCCGATTGGGTGCCAGATACTTTTTGTATCCCCATAAACGCTCTTGGGGTTTGTTCTAGGATGCAGCACCCGCTGGGTACTCTGCATGTTGGCCCTGAATCACGAGGTGCCCAGCCTGGCTGCTGAGAACAGGCACTGTTCCCGCCCTGGGTGAGCTGAGGCTTGTTCCCTCGCATCCAGTCGGATGGCTTTCCTCCAGCCTTGGGTCTCCTCACCTGCTGCACTGATGAGCACTCAGCCGGGCCCTGGAGGAGGCCCCTCTGCAGCTCTCTCCTCGCCAGTGGGCTGCACTGTGAAGTCCACCACCCTGGCTTCCCTGCACTTACGGCTCCGTCTTCTCAACGTAGGGAGTCCACTGGCTCCACTCCCTGGCCTCGGCGTGGACACTGTCTCCAGGCAGGAGAGCTGGGGCACTCCTGGGGCTCCCCTCTTTGCTTCCTGCTCTCAGAGAATTCCTGTTGTTGTCTGATGTCCAGCAGCTTGAGAACTGTTGTTTTGTTGTTTCGATTTTATGGTGTGTGTGTGTGTGTGTGTGTGTTGTTGTTGTTGTTGTTTTTTGGCAGGAAGGTAAATATAGTCCCTTTTACTCCATCTTGGCTGAAAGCAGGATTCTACATCACCCTGATGTGGTAAGTTTATGTGATGGAATATCATACAGCCATGAAAAGGAATGCCTTAACCAGTCACAAAAACTACATGTTGTGTGATTCTGTCTTTATGAAATGTCCTGAAGAGGCGAATCTAGCGATCAGAACGAAGAGCAGTGGTTGCCTAGGGCTGAAGCTATTGGGAATTGGGGGGGCAGTGATGACTAAGGGTATGGTGTTTCTTTTGGGGGTGATGAAGCAGTTCTAAAATCTGTCAATAGTTGCACAACTCTACGAACACACTGAAAAACACCGGCATGTACACTTTAAATGGGTGAAAAAGAAAACAAATGCACTTGAGATACAGGACTTTGCAAAAGTCAGTTTCAAACGCATGCCAAGAGGATGGAACAGACTGACATACCTCGATGTGGGGTCAGGGGGACGAGAAGAGATAAACCAAAGAACTTACATACTTATATGCGTAGCCCATGGACACAGGCAATAGGGTAGTGAAGACCTGGGGGAGTGGGTAGGGGCTGGGAGGAGGGGCGAGGGGGGAAATGAGAGATATCTGTAATACTATCAATAAACAACATATTTAAAAAGTAAAAAAAAAAAAAAAATCGCCCTCCCCCGCAAACAAAACCAAACCAAACAAAAGCATTCCAGGAGGAAATCTGGAGGCAGCAGGATTCTCTGAGCAGATACCTGTTTACAAGAGGCTTAAAACATGCAACCCAAGTCCTAGATATGTTCAGGGGCCTCTGGCCTGGGTGCAGAGGAATGCTCCCCACGCCAAGCAGGGCTGGTTCTCTCCTCTCCGGGAAAACACCGAGGAAATCAGGGTTGTGTGTTGGGGAGGGGGCACGGAGGGTGGCACGTTGATCGCTAAGGTCTCGCTCCTTAGCCCGGCAGCACCAGTCTATGCTTTGCTTCCGGTCTAAGAGTTTTCTTAACAAGATCACTTGTCGGATGAATCACTCAGCCTTTCCCCTGACGGCGGGTCCCCGCCTTCCCTGGGCCCGCACAGCGCCCACTGAGGATGACTTCCCACGGCTGATGCAGAAAGCACGCAGGATGGCTTTAGGAACAACTTCCGGAAGCTTGTTTTGGGCTGGTCCCAGAAAAACGCAACTTCCCCACCCCCCTTGCCCATGCCGTGCCTCCCCCACCTTAAAAAGCCCAGGAAAGCCTGCCGGCAGCTCCCTCTGTGCCTGGCCGGGCCGCAGGCCACTCCCTCTCCTTCCAGCCTGTTGTCCCTGCCACACTGCTGCTGCCTTGGGTTCCCCCATCAGCGCAGCCACGCCCGCTGCTTCCAACAAGAAATGCCAGGCTCTAAATACCCGCACCTGCAGGCCGCAAGCCAAACACTGACTAAGCCAGCCGTGGGCAAACTACGGCCCGCGGGCCGGATCCGGCCCGTTTGAAATGAGTAAAACTAAAAAAAAAAAAAAGACCGTACCCTTTTATGTAATGATGTTTACTTTGAATTTATATTAGTTCACACAAACACTCCATCCATGCTTTTGTTCCGGCCCTCCGGTCCAGTTTAAGAACCCATTGTGGCCCTCGAGTCAAAAAGTTTGCCCACCCCTGGACTAAGCCCATACCCTCACTTCCTGCGAGAACTCAACGTTCTACCAGCCTCACCTGGGCCTCGGACAGGAGGGGAGCAGAGAGCCTGTCCCAGGTGACAGGCTGGAAGCACAGAGCCTGACCCCTGACCCCTGAACCCAGGCAGGCCAGGGCTGAGAGCAGGGCTGCCCTGGGGAACCACATCCCTGGGCTCCCACTCTGGGCTCCGCCCGGCTCCCAGGCCTTGGCTCCTGCTCCTTCCTCTGCCTGGGATGCTTCCCTGACCCCAGCCTCTCGCCTACTCATTCCTTTTAACTTTTAAAAACTGTGAAATGCCACCTCCATAAAGAAAGCACATAGAACAATGGACGGGGCAACAAAGCATTTTAAAGGGGTGCCAGGTACCCAGCAGTTAGGTCAAGAGGCAGCACGCCTACTTGCTCTTTAAAAAACACCTTTTAAAAGGTATGAAACGTTTTGACCATAAAGCACAGAGATGGAAACAAGCATCCAGGACCCTCCACCGAGGCTATGAGCCTCTCATGGTTTCCCTTACCTTCTTCAGAGTTTGTCCAAGAGGCAAAACATTCCAGAGGGAGCCCCAGGCCTTTTCTGCACCCCCGTCCCCTGCTCTCTTCCCCCGGAAGAAGCCAGAGTCCTGGCCTGGCGTCCTCGCCCTGAAGGTCTGCACACTCCACAGAAGTTTGCCCCCCTGGGGCCGAGCAGTGCGAGCAGGCCCTTGTGCACGAAGGAATGCATGAATTCGGAACAGAGCCCAGCACCGCTGCCCCGCCCACAGCCTGCACGCCTGCCGCCACAGGTGAAACCAACAGAAAGCCCAACGCCCCTCTCAGAAGGAAAAGGAAAAACACCTCCTGAGCAGCAAATAGGAGGGCCTTCGGGGCATGCATCTCAGGCAGGAAAAGAGGGGCTGCGGTCTTCCAAGGCCCTTAGGAAGCCTGATTCGGGGGCTGTAGTAAACATCCAAAGACCTAACTTGCTGAGGCTACAGCTAGTGAGTGTTGAATGCAATCACGTGAAAGACCCAGGGAGAGCCTCAGGGCCCCAAACCTCATGACTCAGGCCTGGCTCACACATTTGGGAGACTTTCTCTGCCCCCTTCCCCTTCTTTGCTACCAGGTTCCGTGTTTTCAGTTGTGTGCATCTCCCCCCTCCCCAGCCCCAAGGAGATGAGGTTCCTGGGAGGGTGGTCATGCAGGAGGGGGCCAAGGAGGAGGAGGAGGAGGAGGAGGCAGGTGCCTGCTGGGCTGCAGAAGTATAAACCCCAGCTCACAGGAGTGAGGCCAAGGCCATTAGTGGGAGTCCTGAAGCCCACTAGCCCCTCCCACCCTGGCAAAGGCTGCACACCCCCTTATTTCCTGCTATTAAAACCAGCAGAAAACAGGGACCTCCCAGCTCATATCAGTTATTCCCACCTTAAGAAAGAATAGATTAAGGAAGTGCGACTATAATGTTGGGTGAGTGCCAGAGAATGGGGTTGAGATACGGACTAGCCCAGAGAGCCTCTTAAATGTTGGGGGAGCTGTCTAGATGTGTAACCTCGTGTCTCTGAGTCTCTGCAACATGGTCCTCCAGCAGTCCCTTGCAGGAATTTCCCCCCAGGCTCTAATGACAGGAGATAGATGAAAGACCCAGCACTATACCTGTGCCAAGCGAGTCCTCCGGGGTCTGCGTCCTCCGGCCACCAGAGGGCGCTGCAGCCCGGCCCAGCCCCCTCTCACCAATCTTTGGCTAGTGGTCAGCCTAGGGCAGGGGGCCTCCGGGTTACATCCTGCCCAACACAGGGCCTGGGCGGTGATTTCGCCTTCCAGGCTGTGGCCTGCTCAGAGCAGGATTTCTTGGCTTCACCTGGAAGACTGGGCAGAATGCAGAGTCCCAGTCTCACCCACAACCGGTCCCCAATCCTGGTGCAGATTGGGCCCTCCCCGGAGATTTAAAAATACGGATGCCTGGGCCCCCTCCAGAGATCACCATGTTGTTAGAGCTGTGCCACCTGGGCATTGGGTTCCAATGTACAGTCAGGGCTGAGTCCTGCTGGTTAGGACCTGGCAGAGTGGACATGTCCGTGTTGCTCTGCCTGGCACACATTTCAGATGGGGCGGGGGGATGCTCCCACCAGCCCTGCCGGGGGGCCAAGCTCACTGCTCTTCCATGTACCTACTCGGCAGGTGGGGTGGGGCAGGCCCGCCTGCTTCCAGACCTCGGATCCCAGTGAAAGTGTGGCTCTGAGCCAAGCCATGAGAAGCATTTCCTGAGGCAGCCGGTCAGGCTTGGCGCCTGCCCAGCTCTGGGAATAGGCCTGGAGCCTCCCAGGCAGTTAGTCTGGGTCTCCGACAGCTGCTTCCCCAGCCCAGGCTGCTGGCCTTTCCTGGGCTTGGCCAGGCACCATAGGGTACCCAGCATCAGGCCTGACGGGGCTCCCAGAGCCAGGCGCCCCACAAGTAGGCAGGGATTAATGATCCTGTTTCACAGATGAGGAACCTGAGGCCCCGTAAAGAAATGTGTGGAGGACCTGGCTGGTTTGGCTTGTGGATAGAGCGTCAGCCGGGGGACTGAAGGGTCCTGGGTTTGATTCCGGTCAAGGGTACACACCTCGGTTGCAGGCTCCTCCCCGGCCTGGGCCCTGGTCTGGAGCATGCAGGAGGCAACCAATCGATGTGTTTCTCTCACATCAATATTTCTGTCTTTCCCTCTCTCTTAAAAAACAACAAAACAAAACAATGGAAAAATATCCTTGGGTGAGGATTTTTTTTTTTCAAAGAAAGAAATGTATGGAGGTTCCACAGAGTGTGAGTGACAGAGTGGAACTCAAACCGCCAGCCCCTGTTCCAGGCACCATGTTCTTCCCACCACCCTCCACTACCTTTGGCTGATGAAGCGCTCATTTCCCCCTTCTTCCCGGGAGGAGACTGGAGCCTCAGAGCTGCAAGGAGGGTGGTGAGAGGCTCTGAGTGCAAACACCCACCATATTTCTGTTCTGAACTCTCTGGACAGCCCCAGTGTGTGTGTGTGGGGGGGGGGGGGGGGGGGGGCTGTGTGTGCTGCAGCACAGGAAGGGGACAGGGGTTCTGGGGCCTCCTCTGGGCTCCCCCAGTCCCAGCATCCCCCAGCATCGCCCAGGCCATGCTGCCTTCTCTGAGGTTTGCACTGCTCTTTGCACAGCAGGGATTCAACCCGTGTTTCCTGAGGGTGGTGGGTGGAGAGGGGAGGGGGACATTTGATCTCTGGGGAGAACTGGGCTCCCTCATCCTCAGTCTCCTCCCCTGGCCAGCACCAACCCAATTCATCCTGCTCCTCTCCAGCTGTGGAAACTTGTGCCTCAGCCCAGAAAAGCAAACTTGCTGGAAGTCAGCTGCTTTGCAGCTGGGGCCAGCCAATCAGGCGCAGGGGGCACCTCACCCATCTCTAAGGACAAAGGGCTGAGGGCTGGACCAGAGGGGCTGGGGTGGGGGGCCCCAGGGGGAACATGCTGCCTCAAGGCCTATGCCCCAGGGACAGAAAGAGGGAGCAGAGAGAGGTGGAGAGGAGTAGGAAGCAGGAGAGGGGAGACACGGAGGTGGCAGGAGGGACTCTGTAGGCCAGGGGACCCTGGAGCATGGCTCTCAGCCACTTGGCATGTTCTCACCTTTTCCTCCTACCCTGCTCCCCTCCCCTTCTCCAGGTAGGCAAGGGCTCCTGAGAGGTAGCTTCTAGAACTCAGACACAGACGCCCCTGTGGCAAGGACAGGGATACATAGTAATGAGATGGGAGTTACATCTAACATCACTTGGCCTTGTCCCCATTTTACAGATGAGGAAACAGGCTTAAAACGATTGACATGCCAACGTCTTTTGGCCGTTCTGCAATTTGAATCCAGATCTGCTTGAAGCTTGAGCTGCATTAACTTTCTCTTCTCTGTCCTTCTTTCTAGTCCGGCAGCCTCTAAGCCTTGGCTCATGCCTTCCGGCCAGGCCTTCACCTCCCTGCTTTTCCAGATCGACCCCTCACCCTCCTGAGACACTGTCTGCAAGCACCCCCTCCCATCACCCCATGAGTCACCTGGGCTCTGTAAGCCACCCAGAGAACCCGGGGCCCCAGAGCCGGGGGAAACCCATAAATACAAACACATTTGCATGAAAGCACAGGGTGTGTGCCTGCAGCTATCAGCTCAGTGAGCTTCCAGGACACAGCAGCCAAAAGTGGGAGCAGCCACCAGCTTCCTGGGACAAACACGTCCCGACAGCCAGGTTGGTACCATTTGGTGTTTATTTAGACACACAAATAAAAGAGCCTGGTGGTTCAAACAGCTTGTGCTCCTTTTTTTTTCTTGTCATATATATATTTTAAAAGATCAACACATTACCCCAAGTTTTTTCTCTCTACTGAGCAATATATACAGCTTGCTATATATATGTGTGTGTGCGTATACATATATATGCATATATATAATACATTTTTTCAATAGATAACTACATTCAAGTAATGAAACACAGGATTTACAGTTTCCCTCCGAGGGCAGAGGAAAAGCAAATTCACACTCAGTTCACAGAAGAAGTACCATTAAGAGCCCAGCCAGACAGGAGCCGAGGCCCTTCTGGGGGTGAGGGGGCAGGCAGCAGCTGAACTCACCACAGTCACACTCTGCTTGGGG